AGCGACCATCTTATTTAGACCATCAGCGGCGAATCTTAAACTAAATTGAATATTAAGTTAAGGCCTAAGAGAAGGACTTAAACCTAAACCTTAAACTGGTTACACATGAGTTTCCTTGTCGATATTTTCAAGTGATAAAAGCTAGCATTCTTGCATTGTAGCCTACCTATTTATTACCCTTCAATGGGACAAAAATATTGTTATAAATGTAAAGAATCGTTTATTATTATCGGATATTTAATAAAGACGTTGCTATCACGAATACATCGTACATGTACCTACTTATGACGTAAGTATAGCCCTAAATAATTAAAAAATACTTATACATTAAAATAACGTAATTTCTTTTAACACGTTACCAAACAAAAGGCATTAAACAGTTGACGCATGATGAGCCAACTGGAGCGCAACAACGCTCTTACGGGCGGTTATGACACTTGCGTTGATATTCGGTAAATTACTATTTACTTTGTTACGTTTGAGCGAAATGTGGAATACGGAATTGTTACTTTGCTCTATAAGACATAGAAAATTTGGTTGGCATTAAGTTTTATCACTAAGGGAAAAACTTAGATGTGTCATCTACTTGTATCAATTAGATACGAGTAATATAATGCACATGCACAAAGGGACTTAGATTACGAAGATAAAAAATATTATTTACTTATTGTCTGTCTGGAAATCAAATCTATTTAATCCTAGTAGTATAGTAGTCACTGGGATTTCTTTCTTACTCATTATTTTTAATCGATAATTGTAATCGGTCAAGTTTAGATATCTCACTTAGATACGTGCGTTGTTGCGCATAAAACATGTTAAATTATAATATAAAAAAATATTAAAGAAAAAATATTTGCACTGACCGTTTTATTAGCATAGAATAGACATAATTACATTACAGGAAGAAAAAAATACACGCCCTATGACAAATGGCTTTAAATATGACAACGTTCACTTTATTTTTTAACACATTAGGTACTTAAACAAGTCTGTCAACAATCAATTACCTTATGACAATGAAAAACATACTCAGACAAGGATATGGTACCCATAAAGCCTGAGAGTGCAATAAAGACCAGAAATAAGCTATTAAAGGTGTGAGTGACATATATTTTATGTTTACACCAATGAAATTGCAATCAAGAATACCTACATTTATTAGCTATTACGGACTTTATTATACTAACCACTGTATCAAAAGTTTATGTTACATTCTGTGCTGTATTGCCAACTAGAAAATCAGACAATTTCAAACGCCTTTCGTAGTTACTTAATAAAGTAATTATATCGCGTAACAATTAAAAGCACATAAGTGGATCCCACTTACGCATTTTCAGATTACGCCTACTCATAAAGAGCGAGTTATTTCCTACATCTTTTTATTAGCCCACTTACACCCGTATTCACAAACGATGCTTGCTTAAGTAAAGCAGCAAGTAGAGCGCACAGCGTTGAATAGAGCTCTGTGATTGGTTCGTATGTCACCCTGTGCGTCCACGCGCACTCTGAGACCTCATAATAATGTTTGTGAATGAAGGTTAGAGTTATAAAGCATAGAGAAGCTACCGTAAGCAAAATATCTTACTCTATTTTGAAAATAATTACAAGTAAAGTTCGTTGCAGAGTTAAACATTTCTTTTTTCTAACCAAACTATTAAAACATGCTTACAGAGTATAGTTGTCTCGCGACCAAATAAGTGTCGATATCGAATAAATCGATTGTTCGGATCGTGATCCAGAGCATAGTATATTTATCGATGGTTATGCCCAAGTTTCTTGGGGAAAGTACACACTAGTTGACTCATTTCGTAAGTTATTAAAAATAGAATAAAAATATCGACGTATTCTCCAAACACGCAGGTTGTTGTGTGGAAAATACCATTCGTCACGGCCGTTTAATGAAGTTCCTAAATTGTGCAACATGGAAATAATAAAGATCCTCGGCCCTAATTAAATCGAATAGGGTTCATTGTACTACTAAAAATAAAACATTAAAGTTAAATTACTGCTTCCAATTTAGGATTTGTGTAGGTTAATTATTTGTCGTTTAAATCATTTGATGATAAAAGTCATTTAACATTTAATTTACAACAACATTTAATTATTAATTAACGGGACTATTACCGCAACAAAAACATAGGCCAACTTTTACTTGACGCATAACTCATACTTTTAACTGCCAGTGTAATAAAGGCTTGATTGTTCTAATATTTGCTTTAACTCCCACTAATAAAAACATAACTGTAAAACGCAATAATTATAGTTCTTGTACAGTCGACGGCGTATCTGACTACACATTTCTTAATAAAATCACCCTTACTACAACTATATTAGATGCTACATTTTTTACCTAGATGTGCCGTCGTTGTACTAATTAAGGTCTATAAGACTATCTGGGGATCTCTTGCCTGGATTTTATGATGGCTTGTACCGGCCTACGGTCTTACTGCATGACTATCTAGAAAAGTCTTGCCAATAGATTAGCAAGTAGCAAGTTTATAAACCAATCGATCGATAAACGTGGAAAGCATTGGGGGAGGCCTATGTTCAGCAGTGGACGTCCTATGGCTGAAATGATGATGATGAAGTTTATAAGCAACTAGTGTAAGTATGCGGACCTACTTTAAGCTAAATACCCATTGCCCATAATAATGCAGGATATCAAGGTAATGTATTTGTTAAGGAGGATGGTCTAGTGAAATGAGGAGGAGGCGGAAAAGCTTCTTAAAAGATCCCCTACTATCTCTGTTGGCAGACTTTGAGACAAAGTATACAGTATTTAATTAGGAAGTGATATCTATATCTATAAATGCGAAAGGTCACTGATTGACTGACTGACTCACTTATCACGAAATGTCAGAAACTAGAACTATCAGTATGAAACCCAGGCGAAATGCTAGGAGTCTCAAATTTTGCATGGGGGTTCCTTTTAGAACGTAGGTGCTCACTAAGGCGGGATTTTGCAAAATTCAACTCCTAAGGGGGTAAAACGGGATCCACGCGTACGAAGTAGCGGGTGGCCGCTAGTATAGTTATGAGATCTCTGAGACAGATAGTTCTGTTTAAATAAAATTTTCCTTTATCCTTTTTACAAATTTTAAAGTCATTGACGCGAACTTTTGTAGGTAAAATAATGTGTTTTATGAATCACCGTAGAAATATTCAGTTTTTATCAGAGACTTCCGAGTATCGTCAAGATTTTCTTAGAAACTGACCAAAAAAACTATCTGAAGTGAAAAAATTGTATCAGCATCTGGTGACCAGTGATATGACTCAAACCTGGCAACTTAAGAGTAAGGTATTATGTTCAGATATTCAGATAACAATCTTAATGACTAAGATAAATGAGCTTAATTCAACTAGCATTTTGAATAACCGGAGTGTAAAAGACTGGTCCTGAAAATATCCGTGATTCTTCCGGCAACTTTCCGGCATTTGAAGACATGGATTTTTTACTACATATTTATTTAACCGGTTCTTAGGCATACGAAAAGTGGAAAACGACTAATGTAGAGCAAGTTAGTCAATTATACTATACTTTCGTTTCAGCCGAATGACGTCCATAGCTGGACAAAGGCCTCCCCCAAGGATTTTCACAAAGACCGGTCCTGCACCGCCCGCATCCAGGCACCTCCCGCGACCTTCACCAGATCCTCGGTCCACCCAGTGGGAGGCCTACCCACATTACGTCCTCCGGCTCGCATACTACTTTATGATGTCGGAAAATCCTAATTCTATGTGTTCCCTTATACCCGATGTTCCTACTAGATATCTGTAAAAACTAAGTAGTATTAACAGCTTCCTCAGTATTTATTATTTCTTCAAACTCAAAGCATACCAAAAATGTTATTAATGCCTTGCATTTGAATTGGACCCTATTGAACTATTAAGGTTCGCATGTTAGGGCGTGGTCACTCGATACTAAAATGGATCGCTTAATTGTTTGCTAAGCAACGCTTTCAATCATTGTTAAGTGAGATAATATAAAATTAACCTCGACAATGTAAGGTCACGGGTCAGCAACGCTGGACATGTTAAATGTTAATGGCCAAAAGTGCAGTCATCATGTTAGCTATATTGTTATAGGTAGTATGTGGAAGCATTTTTTTGATAAAAAATGTTATGCTGTTTCATTTAGTCACATGATAAAAAGAGGTGTAAACTATCTTTATCTGAAATAATTATTGGTAAAGTACCTTATTTAAAAATAGCAGTACTTATCTAGATAACTTCATAAGACTTAATTAAAACTACTCATGGCTAATCACTAAAACGAAAAGTCAAAAATACTTTGCAAATTTTCTTTTCTTTTTTTCAGGCTTACGTGCCTAAATGAGAAAATAATTGAATTAAGAAAAAACAAATTGATAAATAAATATTTTTAATTTTTAAATTATTACGAACAGCTAAGTCAACCCAATGTTTCACCAATGAAGGTGACATTAAAAGTTCTACGAATTAACGAGTTCGCCAATATTATTGAATTTAATATACGTCAATGTAAAATATTAACTTGTTTATAACAGCCCAAACATATGTTTCAATTACAGTTTTTCATGATATTTTTAAAGTAAAATATGAAAATGTATAACAATATCACCGACTACGACAGTCGAATTCTGATTGTAATTGTAGAGTCAAAAATTATATGACCCCAATTATAATTTAATTGACGCTTGTGATACATGACAAATATTCTCGTAACTATGATTATGTCAAAAGTTCTTCTGGTAAAGTTCAAAGTACAAAAATTCAATTTTTTGCTCTTAAAGTTCGTAGCAACGAAAATTTTTTCAAAGCTCCACCTGTCATATCGAAAACGCGTAAAATGTATAACGCGGTCAGTCTACGCGGTAGCGGTGTGACGTAACACAACGGTACCGCGATAGCTATCGAGCCGCCGATAGCAAAAGTGTGAGGCGACCCTGGCGCCCCCCTACCGGAGGGGGGAGACACTTCCAGCTCCCTTCACCTTTGCGCGCACGCTGCACCATCCGACCAATAGCCGCCCGCCTTCTGCCGGCGAAAGGTTTTATATACAACTGAAATTTGCGCAGTCAAATTGCTATAAGTCAAAATATAGGGTAGTCGGACGGTCCACTCGTGAGTGCGCGTGCGACGGTTTAGTGCGTAAGTGCGTCCCGAAAACCGCGAGAGCAAATGCTCCCGGATTTAGTGCCTATTTAATTTTTATCGATTTAGAGGCAAATACTTTTTGTGTTACCATGGGGTGCAGTGCGAGATACTGTTTACTGGCTCTATCCTTGTGTCTTGTGACTGAGAATGCGATTGGTGTGCGAGTGATGCCCAAACGGAAAAAAGGTAAGGACAAAATACGGGATTTTTTGAGAAACTATATCACAAATTTTGAGAAATGTTGATGTATGTTTCTTTTTATCATTCATAAAATGTAAACAATGCGCCTCGAAAAATGCTCTACGCAATTTTTGGGGTCTTTTGTAACAGTGCTATATACCTTTTTGTTAAAGTAATTTTGTACTTAATAAACTACATTCAAATGCAAACAGTCATGGCAATAGCCTGACATTCAACATAGGCTGTAATGCTGTAATGATAAATCTAGTAACGATCGATATGACCTAACCTTAAAAGCTGTATTATTCACTTATTGTCCTAGAATCCAATATAATTTATTACTCTAATTTAATGTATTTTGTAAGCATGTTACAGTTGTTTAATATTAATGATTTAATGAATTATAATTGATTTAATGACCCAAAAAAAAACTAGCGCCATAAAGCTATAATATTTTTCTTATAAAAAAAGAAATTATGTTGCATCATCAGTAAAAAAAACCTGAGTTACTTATTAACTAAGTAATTTATTTTGGCCTAGTAAATTTATTTTCATCCCTAATTTATTCATTTTATACCAGAATACATAAATGTATCAGCCAAAAATAATATTTTCATATTAATTAACGATATCCTTTAGACCCCTTTAATTTGATCCCTAACGTTTCCTACCTATAAACCTATTTACCAACTACCTGCCAAATTAAAGCTCTATGAAAATTATTTCTCAACTATACGTTTACTCATTTCTAAATTCATAAGCTACCAATTTAATATACCTAATTAGATTACAACTAATTAACTGTACAAATTCTTATTTGTTATTGCAGAAAATCCAACCATATTATTTATTATTTCAATAATCCAAATGTTATCTAAATCCGCTACTAAGAATGTGTTTTTAATATTTACACAATTGAGCAATTAAATTGCAATAAAATAGATTAAGATCATTAGTAGACAACAATAATCCGTACTTAGCCTACGTCACGCCAATGTATTTTCGTATTAGAGAAATTCCTCTTTACTTGAGTCCACGGATTAAAAAAATTAGGGACAGCTTAAAACTTTCCTCGTCAAAGATTCTTTTAAAACATTTATTTTATCATTGTATTCCGACTGCTTTTACAAACCACCGCTATGCGCCCGAATTCGGAGAGTAATTTTAATTTGTGTGTAGTCACCTTGACATGAAACATTGTTTTAGCTTTTTATTGCTGTTCGCATCAAAAGCAAGGCTTAACAATGTCATGATGGATGTACCGTTGCTCTACCACATCTCAGCATGCTTCACTTTTTGCTCTACCCAATGTAGAGCAGGTAAAAAACGAATTTAGAGCAGGTAAAAAACGAATTTAGGCAAAAGCCTTGTCCAGTTAATTCACTTTTACTACTGAGAAATCCTTCCATAATTAAAAAATAGGTAGCACATAATTTTTACTATCAATTTAATTATTTATTTTTTAACATTAAAAACGAAGCTTGCAACAGTTTTGAAACGCTCCAAAAAATGTTATTTGTGCAATACTTAATAATTTTCGAATTGGCCAATGTTTGCTCAAATAGGCCTATCATAAAAACGTTTGTCGAAATTTAACACTTAATTAAAATAATTAAACATAACTGCGTGAAGCACTGCGGTCGCGCAATTTGAGATGGCTTAAAATAAATGGACGCAAGAAACATTTTTGTAATGTGCGTTCGAATTTTCATTTTCTAAAGCCAGCTTCGCAGTGAAAATGTTTTTGAATAGGTAGGCTTATACTTGGCCAGTCAGTGGGTGCCTTATATGGCCAATGTCTAATACGTCCCCATATAGGTCCGTTTAAGGTGGGCTTTCGCACCTTCTCATTAAGTATAAATTGCAAGGTTAGGAATCCAGGCGATTTCCCAAGATCCGTCGTTGTTCGTGGACATCCTGTGCCGTTTAGTTAGAAAATATTCGATAAATATGTAGTTAAATGCCATTAACCGCACTTGTATCAATTAATACACGCAAATTGCATTCCTTGGGTGGTTATATTTTTTGTCGTTAGCATGCCTAAGTAAAAAATAGCACAATTTTAATACACCGATTTTTTTAAGGAATTAACTATACTAATTGGTACATTTCCTGAAAAATTTTGTACTTAAAAAAATTTATAACCACTTTAGCTTTATTTACAAAAGAAAACTTCATATAATATGCATGTTTCTTCAATTTGAGATTCGAATCGAAACCGATTTAAAGATAAGCTAGTTCAAAATAGTTAGCTTATCACTTCTACTTAAATTAATGAAAATTTTCTTGCGATTACTTTAGGATTTAAAATTTTACCTATGCCTAGAATTATTTACATGCATCGACAAGAAAAAAATATTGTCGTATTTTCTTTAAAAATATATTAATGCAAAGTCGTTACTTGTTGTGCTGCACATTGAATTAAATTATAGTCAAACAGCTGTCTTTTTTTCTTTAAACACAGGTGCATTTATTTGTATTGTTAATTAGTTTGTGATTACTTATTGCACTACAGTGCATTTATTGCACTTTGTTGTACCTAGTTCTGGCATAGAGTAACCCTTTCAATCAGGTATTTGTATTTAGTTATTTAAGTATTTATTAATCACTTTCCACAGAAAATCCGATTTAACTGTCTACTGTTATTGTTACTCTTATCTTTAAGATCTTATTAATAATAACAACACTGTGACACATTTTATCGTAATCTAAAAATGTCCCTTTGATTATTCGTTACTTTAACTTTTGTACACTAAAACTCTGTTATGAGACATGTAAGAGCATTTGACGATTTGTAAGAATTAATTCAATTAGTCTATGCATTAATAAAGATAATTTTGATTTTGAAATTTGGAGAAGAAATAAAGTTAGACCGTCTCTTTTTTACAAAAGGCAACAGAGAGGACTATCTGAGTACAAAGTAGTTGGCAGTCCTGACACTATAGAGTCATTTATTAAACATGTCCTTGTAGTTGGGAAACACAAAATCATTTTCTCTTCACTTTTTGCTACCATAACGATGTAAGGCCTATTCCATAGCAAAGACTAAATGTCAATTACACTTGCACATACGTTCATAAAATTTCGTGTTTCTACCGTATTACTAATACAGTCCTTAATTTCGTGTCTACCGTATTACTAATCCAGTCCTTTGAATGAATCCGGTTAATGGACCGGAATATGAATGAATGCATCGAGTTAATTGGTAGCGAGATAAACCAGTGCCTTATTGGCATATGCACTGCATATTATTCAGCTTACCTTAGGAACTTAGAAATCTTAAATACATCGTGTTTGTGACTTTAAACAAATTTAAGCACTACCTTTTGTTTTTTGGATATATTTAAAATAGGTACCTAATTAAAGTCTAATAAAGTAGGTAATAAACAAGAACGGTAATGACCGGTCGGTAAACTCTACACTGCTAAATTTGATTTAAACATCTTTCACATTTCATATTGAGTTCGTTTATGACCTAAATAGTTTTGGGCCTAAAACCTTATTCTTAATAAACATACCTACATTGTATTATCAAAAATTACGTAATCGATCATTTGATAACCTAAAATATGATTGCATATTACGAGTAACATTCTAACCTGATTAGAGAAATCATCTATCAAGCACACTCGACTAGTTTTGATGGCTTGAAAACCCTAATTCTAACTGGTCAAAACTAGTTTTATCTAGTTACAAATTTATTAATTTGTAGCCAGAGATCGACGTACGGATGCAAGCATAAATACTGATACTGGTTTGGAATTAGTTATAATGCAAGAACAAATTGGCAATCTTTAGCTGATGACATTATACCGCGATGAGCTAGATGGCGATTTTTTGCATTGCACTGAGTAGGTCATGCATATAATTTAGTATCAGCTGTGAGAGTCGGAATAGCTCATAATAATATACTTTTGGTCTACAGCATATTTTGCATGTACATACCTAGGTTTATTTCTAGGTACAAACTAGATTAATTGATTTTAGGATTTATTCAAATCTTTGCATGTGAGAGAACATTGACGTTCAATTGTTTATTTAACATCGCATTAAATCCTCGTTATTTCTTGACTCATCATTGCCGAAACTTTGAACTAAACTAATTTGACGGTTTTCATAGAAACACACCTTTTTCAAGATCGATTACAACAAGTATTCTTTAATCTGGCTCACTAAGAAACCCTGAGCTTAAGGTTGAAATGGAAGATGCAAAGTATTATAAAAACTCTATATACCCATATGCTCATGCGCACAGTGCAAGAGCGAGTAATCAGTGAGAGTCCAACCGGTCCGCTCGCGTGCCTGCGCCGATTCTGTACGTTTTCCAAATAATTACTTCTATGCATCTCCGCGAATTACTAGAAAATTGTCTCCAATCGAATGCTTTGAACGTACCGCCATGAGCTTTCACGTACCACCAAAGCTTTCTTAAATAACTCGAAATATAGACAACATGCAACAGAACAAACCTTTTGACTCTTGGAATGAGCATGCTAAAAGCATTTCAAGGCTTACATTATAAATATATTGTTGAGAGTGCGAAAAGTTTATAAAGAAGACATGTTACTTAAAACAAACAAATAAAGGAGTTTGTGGTTTTAAACAAATTACCTTACTGACTCACACGCTTTTGTGCCCAAAACAAAATAATAACGGGCACACCTACACATAGAGCTCTACACCTAAAAATAAAATCACAAAGAATTAACTCCACGTGAGCCGTACATCATATTTTTTAATGTGTTACTTTGTTATTCACTTATTTCATACCTACTTTCTTATAATCAAAAACTGCCTAGTCTTAAATATTATGAAACACTAGAAATCACTTCAAATCAGAATACATAATTAAGTAAAATTTAATTCCGAGCGGGTGCTTACCTTAAACGTGCATTTCTACGTAACTACATAAAAAAGACAATAGATAAATTTGTTCAAATTAATCACACGTCAGTCTAGCGTATTAACATTTACATTTCTGAATAATTTAACGTATATGTAGTTGC